GCGGAGACGCCACTCTTGACAGGGACATCTATTGCACGCTTGTACGAGCCAGGGCCTCCCAACTCCCCTCTTGTAAACGCGGTACCACCGTTAGTGGTGCACTCAGCTTATGACTCCCGGAAAAGCAGAACTAATATTCAATATGGCCGCTATATATATAGGTTGTCATGGCATATATATATCATATATAGGGTGTCTGATCCAGGTTCTCTGTCTGATCCGATTTCGGTAGATTCGCTTATAAAACGCTTGATCTTGTAGTGCATCCTGATTGCGGGTGATCATACTGGATCAGACACCCTATATATGATATATATATGCCATGACAACCTATATATATAGCGGCCATATTGAATATTAGTTCTGCTTTTCCGGGAGTCATAAGCTGAGGGCACCACTAACGGTGGTACCAGGAGTTACGAGGCCCTGTGCTCACACATGTGAGCAAACTGAGCGACTGGAAACGGCGCACGGCTGGAAACAGCTGGATACGTGAGAGTTCACAGCACTCATAGCGCATGCAAGTAATGAGAGCCTGTGCCTCCAGAGGGCGTAAGCGGACGGTACAAAATCGATTTTATCGACCTTGATTAATTTCGACCGTCTCACTCCAGCATCCCCTTAAAAGTAAACGTTGTAACTGGTAATATAGCCGTTTCTTACATAATTAATGTGAAAGACAAAAATTCGCAAAACGTGATCGTGATACAATTAATGTAAAAAATAAAAACTTATTATTATTTGGTGTGGACTTATGAGAATCTCGAAATTTACGATCACGAAATTATTCTGCTTTTTTCCAGTTCGGCTGCGGTAGAAGACATCTTTACAAGGTAGGAGAGAGAGGGGGGAGGGGAGATGAAATACGTGTACGTGCGCTTATCTTCGTGTCACGCATTTCAAGCGTAGCAAGCAACTGATCAGAACTGAGCGCCCGCGTCGGACGGTGCGTTGTGCCGCTCCTACTTACCTTCCGTACGCGACCCGTAATTCGCTCACTATTTCCGTTTATAATTCAAAAACTAAGCTACGCATAGAATTTTGGAAAAATTGTCTTAGAATTATGTCAGGAATATGTCATTTTAAGGACAAATGTTTATTCTGTAACATCCTGTATGTCAAGGTCAAGGTTATAGAGGGGGTGTCCCCTACTGGGTATATTTATCGTCAATCCGTCTAGAAACCCTAACAGAAAAAAACTTTTACGAAGAAATAGAGAAAAATTACATAGATTGAGACAAGATCTTAGAAATTCTTAATTTTTCGTGTATTAGGTGTCAAACTTAATTTCTGCCGTTTTTGTCTCCAAAATTGATTTGTTTCGAAGGAAAGATGACTGAATACCTTAATCAAAGTAATTTCCTCTATTTTCTACTTTATTACTAATTAATAATACTTTATTAATAATACTTTGATTAAAGTATTTCCCTTCGAAACAAATCAATTTTGGAGACGAAAAACGGCAGGAATTAAATTCAACACCTAATATATTCGTAGTGAGACTTAGAGAGATGTTATTTGAGGACAGATGATTTCTTAGTTTTTCAAACAAACAACGCCATTCTACATCCCACAACGAATATCTATGAAAAACTAAAAATTTCTAAAATCTTGTCTAAATGTAGCGTTTCGTAAAAATTTTTCCATCAGGGAAGTCATCGTTTGTTTTGAAATCATTTGAGAAGAAAGATTGTTCCATTTCAACTGACAAACCTGTTTCGCGAGATGGTACAGCCAGAAGCAGTGATCATAAGGAACGCCGTAAAGCATTATAAGAAAGGATGGTTAGTGCTTGATGGTCTAAATATGACCGTTTTGAAAGGTTCTATGTAAGTAACCATTATTTATCATGTCAATACAAAATATTAATCATCTTCCTATACGGAGAAAATTTTATGTTAAGCTTTAATACAATTTTAAACTACACTTTACTATGCCTTGTATTTTCGATGGACCATTACAACATGATTCCGACTTAACCTTTACTATGGTAATACTAATTTTTATCACATAAATAACGTAATTATTTTATTAAACCAGTGCTTAAGCCATATTCTAACATGAAAACAGTTAATTTTTACTATGGTACGCAAACAAAATTTGCTAGGTATATATTTTTTACTCATCTTTACAATACTATCTTTTATTTAACAAGTTTTGATTTTGTAATAAAAAATTTTTACTATAAAAAAGTGTAAAAATTACATTACATTATTGTTTTTAAAAAAATAGCTATAGCATTTAAACTTATAATTTACATGATAGTCCGCAGTACAGATAGTCCGCTACTACCACATTATAGTAATTTTACATATAAAATTTTCTCCGTGCATTCATTTTTGTTTTGAATTGTAAACAAACAATTCAAATTTTTCAAAAAAAGCTATCGAAAAAGTGCTCTCTAGAAAAGAAAAATGCAATGAAATCGTTAATTAATTAATATTTGCGATTACTTGCTGGATTTATAATATTATGTAACAAATATGAAATATTATTTGAGAAACCTACATACAGCATATCTTTTTATTTTAAATCAAACAGTTGATTAACCATAATTAACATGTCCATTCGACTTGATGTGTTAAAGAGACAATTTATTTCTTGAAATTATTCTCCCATTTTTACTGCAAATTCGGAATTAAAAATCATTGAAACAATACAAAATCGTTTTTATAAAGATTCATAGTTATAATGATTTTGGGGTGTAACAACGTAACGCAAAATTTCATAGGTGTTTGAATTTTGTTGAGATAATCTTTTATAGCTGTTAGCTACTCATATACGCTTAATGTGAAACACTATTTGTTTCTTTATATTAATACTTGAACTGGTGAGGAGAAAACTTGCGAATAGAGCGGGATCGCGATGATACTAATAATTATCTAATTAATTGCCGCGATTAGACTGAATTCATATTTTGAAAAATGCAGATTATGAAACTTTATTGCAAGATTAAGAGAAATATTTACGATTTTATTCCTTCATTCCATTCGAATTTGTTCGTCTAAAGTAAGATGAAGCATGTAAACAAAACCTTTCTTTAAACAGATATGGATTGTTAGGTGCCAGCGGGTGTGGTAAAACCACCCTACTGTCCTGTATCGTTGGGATTCGACATTTAAATAGCGGAGAAATATTGGTCTTAGGGGAAAATCCGGGAAGCGAAAGCTCTGGCATCCCCGGATCTCGAGTAGGTTACATGCCGCAAGAGATATCCTTAGTGGTAGAATTCTCTACGAGCGATGCCCTGTATTATTTCGGTAGAATTAACGGACTCGACGATGAAGAGATCGGTAAGATATATAATAGATACGGATTGAGTAATGGATCTTATTGCTGGCCAAATGTTATCGCATACATTTTGAAAAATTTAAGTTTCACAAAATACTTTTGAGTAAAAGCTTTTCAAACAGTCCCAGCTTCTATTTTGAATTACTCGTACGGAAGATATTTTATAGCGTAAAATATTTTAATAAAATAACTATATTTTGATAAAACTATTCTTTCTAAGACATGAAACAAAAATTCTTGTCGGAGTTGCTTCAACTACCCCCAGCAAATCGCCTAGTGAAGAACATGAGTGGAGGTGAGCAAAGAAGAGTTTCCCTTGCCGCTGCATTGTTGCATATGCCTGAAATTCTAATTCTTGACGAACCCACTGTGGGCTTGGATCCAATTTTGAGAGAAAAGCAAGTAGATTTTGTTAATTCTTTTTTAGCACAATGAACAAAGAATAATAGAAAAATGCTTGAATAAACTTTTTTTCGTAGCATTTGGGCCTATTTGATTCAGATCACAGAAGAGAATGGTATTACTGCGTTAATCACGACGCATTATATTGAGGAAGCTAAAGATGCTAATCGAGTAAGTTTCGTTATTGTAAATTAATCCTAATAATTATAACAAAACTTGTTACATAATATTCTAGCTTTTAAGGAAACTCATATAAAAGCCATTCTTTAATTTGAAAAAAAAATTGTTCTGATCGATGAAATGAATTCGTGCATCTTCAATGCTATGCAGATTGGTTTGATGAGATGTGGTAAATTATTGGTGGAATCGACGCCTCAAAAATTGTTGAATCAATTTCAATGCTCATCCTTGGAGGAAACCTTCCTGAAACTGTGCGAGGCCCAGAATAATACAGTTACTCTGAATGAAGCTCAGGAATCCAAAGTGGAATGTATCAACAGCAACGGCTTGTACCAAAATGAAAATAAATATGAACAAACAAAAGTATATGCAGGGGTGGGTAGTATTTGAAATACATGTATTTAAAATACGTATTTAAATACATTTTTGTATTTTGTATTTCGTATTTGAATACACTTTTTGAGAGTTACTTTTTATTTTGCATTTAAATACCTTTTTAGTATTTTGTATTTAAATACATTTTTTAAGGGGATGCTGGAGTGCCCTGTTTTACCAATAAAGTATGATTAATTTTGCTCGACTCGTTTCTCTTAATTGCACTTACGGATTGAAAAGTCCTTCTCCACAATTAAAGTATCGACAACAACACAGGCTGCAAACTACAATTTAATACGAAAAATGAAAGAAAATTTAAGACTTACAGTTTTGTTATCGGCTTCTGTAGTCGACACATCACAATATATGCTGCATACAAGAGTTTCAGATTTTACTCGTTTAAAATAAATAGCTTGCAGTCTACAGAAAACCTCGAAAAACAATACTGTGCCTGTAAAAATGAGCTAGGAGCTTTAGTATAAGAGGAAAGAGTCGATAAAAATTTCGTTCGTATGCCACGAATAAAGTTGACGTGAAGCCATGACACCGAGCACTATTTTAGTTGATCTCTTTCTAAGAGATGGCGTTGCAATATGTAAATAAGGACAGATGAATGCGTTTGAGTGAAACACAACGATATATAATAATTATAAGAAATGAATGAAAGATGTCACTATTGTCGAATTTGGAATTTAAAAAAATCTGTACTATCGACCTTGATTAACTTCGACCGTCACTCCAGCATCCCCTTAAATATTTTGCTCACCCCTAAGTATACGTAATAATAATCCAAGTTATTCTCATTGATATACAACGTTGTGTACTTATGTATTATTTAATAACACAAAAAAATCGAATTGTTTAGACAATGTCGAAGTACAGAGCAGTTTCGGAACGTCGAGTTTCACGATTGAGAAGATTCAAAGCTCTGTTGATAAAAAACGGAATACAATTTTTGCGTCATTATGGGTAAATATTTATTAATCTCTTTTATAATATGAGAGAGAAAGAATATGTTACATATTATTATCATTATTATCATTACTATAAAATTAAAACGATTGATAAATCTGATAAAATTTTTAATAATTCATACACAAATTATAACATGTTCAATGTTATAATAAAGAAAATGACAAAATTCGAAAACAGTTAAAATTTCATGTATGTCCATATTTACACACACACGCGCGCGCGCGCATGCGCATATACCTATATACATATAGATATATGTATATATTGGGTATGGGAATGAGTTTCCGCCCTTTTTGAAAAGAAAAAGATGTGTTTATTTAAACAAATCTATATAAGTGAGTTTATTCAAAGTATGCTCCTTCGGAAGCGACAACTTTCTCCCACTTTTCCGGTAATAAACGGATTCCTTGAATGAAAAAATCTGGTTCTTTTGAAGCGATCCATTCATCAAGCCATTTTTTGATATCTTCATAAGAATTGAATCGTTCTCCAGAAAGGGCCGACTGCATGGATCGGAACAAATGGAAATCTGAAGAAGCAATGTCCGGTGAATACGGCGGGTGGGGCAGAATTTCCCACTTTACTCCTTCCAAGTATTTCTTGACCGGTTTTGCAACATGTGGCCTAGCGTTGTGTCACGAGTGCGATATTGCACAAGTGACCATTGCGCCACGATACGTGTTTAGCTTACACGAACGAAATCATATTATTTAAAATAAGATAAACAATAAAGTTAATTGAAAAGATAACCCTGAAGGGAAATAAACTCAGAACAAAAGAAAACGCTAACTCAGATGTTTGCGCGGCCTCGTCCCGTAAGCGGAACGCTGACAGATCAGCACGGACGGGCTGACCCCCAAATTATAGAATAAAAAGCGCGACCGTTCACGCGCTCAGGGGTCAGAAACTCGGTCAAGTTAGTAAGCATAACGCGTCGCGTCGTCCGAATTATTACAGTAGATATATCGCGACGCGAATACGATAAGTGAATTGTGATTGTAAATCAATACAAGTAGTATTTGGTGAAAATAAAGATATTTAATATAGTTGCAAACTGCTACATGAAAGCGTTTCCTTCTACTAAAACCATTCCTCGAGTCCTTTGTGGATCCCGAACCGTGCCATAAAGCGGCACAACAGTTGTCATGTAACAGAATCAGCTTGTTGTGCCTATTGTCCCATTCAGGTCGTTTTTCTTTCAAAGCTTGGTTTAAACGTATCAGTTGTAGTCGATAACGATCGCCAGTGATGGTTTCGGACGGTTTGAGCAGCTCATAATATATAATCTTTCTGATCCCACCAGATGCACAACATAATCTTCGAAGCATGGATATTTCGTTTTGGCGTTGATGGACCTGGTTCACCTAGCATCACCCATGCTTTCAAGCGTTTAGGGTTATCGTAATAGATCCATTTTTCATCGCCAGTTACGATACGATGTAGAAAACCCTTCCTTTGTTGTCGTTGATGAAGCATCTCGCAGATGACAAAACGTCTTACCATGTCTCTCTCTTTCAATTTGTATGGCATCAAATTTCCTTCTTTTTGCACCATTTCCATTGCGTGTAGACCTTTTCCAACAGTGGATCTATCAACATTTAACTCTTTTGACAACCTATCGAGCGATAAATATGAATCTTCTTCGAGTAATGCTTGCAATTCTGCATCTTCAAATTTTTTCGGTGCACCTTCGCTTTCTTTGTTACGCACGTCAAAATCACCATTGTTGAATCGCCGAAACCATTCTTTACAACTGGTTTTCAATGGAGCATGCTCACCGTAAATATCTACGAGCAAACGATGCGATTCTGCAGCATTTTTCTTTAAAATAAAATAATGGAGTAAATCTTCCCGCAAATGTTGCTTTTTTGGAATAAATTCCGAATTCTTAAACGCAAAAAAAGTTACTCTTTTTTACGCTTTGAACGAATGTCAACTATTGGGCCCAAAAGTTTGAACACAAACCTTTCAAACACATGTGTTGCCGTTCTATCAAACACACAAGCAATGCTACTAATGACGGGAGGGCTCCGTTTGACCACAATCCCGATTGTCTACAGCTTCGTTTGCACACAGCAACATTGCACACAGCGTATTGCACACAGGACATTATTGTACACAGCGTATTGCACACACGACATTATTGCACACGACGTTTTGCACACAGGACATTATTGTACACAGCGAATTGCACACATGACATTATTACACACAGCATATTGCGCACACGGCATTATTGTACACAGCGTATTGCACACATGACAATATTGCACACGGCGTTTTGCGCACAGGACATTATTGTACACAGCACATTGCACACACGACATTATTGTCCACAGCGTATTGCACACAGGACAATATTGCACACACGACAATATTGCACACACGATAATATTGCGCACAGGACGTTATTGTACACAGCGTATTGCACATATGACAATATTGCACACATGACAATATTGTACACAGGACAATATTGCACACATGACATTTTTGCGCACAGGACGTGATAGTCCACAGCGTATTGCACACAGGACAATATTGCACACATGACAATATTGCACACAGGACAATATTGCACACATGACAATATTGCACACAGGACAATATTGCACACATGATATTATTGCGCACAGGACGTGATTGTCCACAGCGTATTGCACACAGGACAATATTGCACACATGACATTATTGAGCACAGAACGTGATTGTCCATAGCGTATTGCACACAAGACAATATTGCACACATGACAGTATTGCACACATGACATTATTGCGCACAGGACATGACTGTCCACAGCGTATTGCACACAGGACAATATTTCACACATGACAATATTCCGCACATGTCAATATTGCACACAGGACAATATTGCACACAGGACAATATTGCACATATGACAATATTGCACATAGGACAATATTGCACACAGGACAATATTGCACACATGACAATATTGCACACAGGACATTATTATACACAGCACATTGCACACACGACATTATTGTCCACAGCGTATTGCACACATGACAATATTGCACACATGACAATATTGCACACACGACACTATTGCGCACAGGACGTGATTGTACACGGGAGGATCCCGTTTGCCTACACTTCTGATTGTACGCACCACTCATATCAACTGGTGCCTAGTAATTTTCCACTGTTTTGCCAATTAGATTATTTTATTTTTAAATTGGCAAATCAGCGATTCATGTGTGCAATATGCGATGTGTGCAATCGGAACCCTCCCATTGTACCCAACGTATTGCACACGGCGCATTGCGCACACGACATTATTGTACACAGCATACAGGAATATGGAGTTTTGGCAGAACCGTGTGTACTATGGTGAATGCTAAACTCACTATAAGGTGCTTTTACATGGGAGCATCTGGAGTCCCTGTACGAGACTCTAAAGCTGCGTTCGGGAAGCGTGCTATCAACTCTATTTGTGATATACTATCCTTGTTTCACATTTAATGGACGATGGAGACACAAATAGCGCTAATAGCGTCTCCCCGAACCCAGCCTAGGAACGTCAAGCATCGAGCGTCAGAGCATGCGCAGTGATACATTGAATAATTTCACTGAAACGCATTGAATTCGATTACGGAATGATCCCGTTTGCCTACAATCCCGATTGCACACACCACTCATATCAGCTGGTGTCTAGTAATTTTTTACTGCTTTAGCAATGGGAATATTTTATTTTTAAATTGGCTAATTAGCGACGCATGTGTGCAATATGTAATGTGTGCAATCGGAGCTTTCCCGCCAGGATAGTAGTGTATATTAAAACATAACCTCTCTTAATTTACTATTTTGCTTAAAGAAGCTGGAAACAGAAATTTCAGAATTATGTGCAATAAGTTTTTGCATAGATGCTCGACGCTTGATGATCGCATGTAATGA